GGCTGAGGATCGAACCCGGGCCGCACGCATGCCACTAGTAACTGAGAGAGAGAGAGAGAGAGAGAGAGAGAGAGAGAGAGGAGAGACTTAACCCAATGGAACAAAACAGAGCCTAGAAATAAACTCACACATTTATGGAAAACTGACTTTTGAGAAATATGCCAAGAAAGTACAATGAGGAAAGAAGAGTCTCCTCAGAGGAGGGTATTGGGAAAATTGGACAACTGCAAGCAGAAGAGTGAAACTGAACCTCGTCTCACACCACATATAAAGCAACTCAAAACAGATTAAAAATTTAAACATAAAACCAAAACGTAAGAAGCAAAGCTACTCAAAGAAAACAGGTGGAAAATTCCATAATGTTGTTCTGGCAATTTTTTTTTCTTTATGTGATCTTTAAAGTACAAGCAACCAAAGCAAACCCAACAACTGAGACTAGAATAAGTTAAATAGTAGAGACAGGCAAACAGCAGAGTGAAGAGGCGACTTATGGAATTGGAGAAAATATCTGTAAACCATACATCTGGTTAGGATTAGAATCCAAAAAAACATATGAGGAACTCAGATAACTTAGTAGCAAGAAAATTAATAACCCAATTAAAAAATGGTCAAACAACCTGAATAGGAGTTTTAAAAGAAGACATAAAAATGGCCAATGGTATATGAAAAAATGCTCAATATCAGAGAAGTGCAAATTAAAATATCAGAGAGTTATCAGCTCATAACGGTTAGAATGGCTATTGTCCAAGGAAGAAAGGAAGGAAGGAAAGAAAAAAATAAGTGTAAGGTAAGGGATGTGGAGAAAAGGGAACCCTCACCCAATGTTGGTGGACATGTAAATTAAGTTAAACATCCATTAAATTAAACAGTAGGAGGGGGTCTCCTAGCAACCACGCTACTGGGTATACTTCCAAAGGAAATGCAATCAGTAGGTTGAAGAGATGTCTATACTCTCATGTTAATCACAGCATTATTTTCAGTAGAGCCATGACATGAAATCAAATTAAGTTTCCATCAATGAATGAAATGCATAAAGAAAACTTGGTAAATACATATAATGGAATCCTATACACCCCTAAAATGGAAACCCTGTTATTTGCAACAACATGGCTGTACCTAAAGGAAATTCTGTTAAGTGAAATAAGTCAGGTAGAGAAAGACAAGTAGCACACGATCTCACTTATATGTGGAATATTAAAAAGTCATATTAATAGAAGCAGAGAATAGAATAGCTTTCTAAGGATCGGAAAACATTGAGGAGATAGTTGGGAAAAAATACGAAATTTCAGTTAGAAAGGAAAAATAAATTCAAGAGGTCCATTGTACAACATAATGACTGTACTTGATAATGTATTATATTTTGAAAATTGATGAGATTGTGTTCCTACTACAAAAAGATGTCACATACCTGAGGTAATGCGCATGTTAATTAGAGTATTCCACAATGTGTGCATATTTCAAAATGTATTGTAATCAATACATTCACTTTTTAATTCGTCAATTTAAAAAACAAGGTCACAGAGGAAGAAAATGGTTGCAAATATTTTGCTGAGTAAGAAGTCATCATGGTTTTCAAAGTTTTTGTCAGACTTCAGTATCCGAGGTTCCAACCCGTAAATATAGAAGTGGACTTTCTGAATGACACACAAACCCTTACTGAAAACTTCTTTTTTTTTTTTTTTTTTATCTTTCAATGCTCTGTAGAAGCAGAGAGGAATCTGGCCTCCAAACTCAAGAAAAAGGGGTGGAGATGCTCTGAGTGGGGAGAAGCAAACCAGGATATTTTATGGAGCCTTTATTGTGAGGGACCCACTTAACCTAGGTCTCATTTAATTTTCAGAGGAGTTGGTTCTTACAAAGTCGGCACAGTAACCCCATTTTGTAAATGAGAATATCAAGGTCAAGAGAGCAATGTTTGCAAAGTTTGCATAAAAGTAGTGGAGGTACTATTTGAGCCCATCTACCTGACTCCGAGCTCTTTCCTCAGCCCTTCGTTAGAACCTCAGGGTTCCCTGAGAAGTTGGTTAGGGACTGTCTAAGCAGAAGGGGCAGGCTTGTGAAGCTGGGTGGATCAGTGACTAGATAAAAAGCCTGTCAATCACAGCACAGCGGCATGCGGGTTAGGGAGAAATGACTCACTGTAGAACATTCTCCAGGCTTAGTCGTGAATCCTCTTCCCACCTTCTTCCTTCTTCCTTTTGTTGTAGGATTTTTCAACCTTGGCTTGATTGACATTTTAGGTTGGATTATTCTTTGCTGTGGGGAGAAGGGCTGCTCTGTGCTTTGTAAGATGTCTAGTCACACTGCTGGCTTCTGTCCTCCATGCAGTAGCAACTCTCCCTAGTCCTGACATTGAGACCGATCCCAGACATTGCCAAATGGCTCCTAAGGTGGGAAACCACCCTGGTTAACAACCAGTGTCTTGTACTGACCAGCCATCCCAGTTTGCTCAGGACTGAGGGATTTGCCAGAGATTTGGGGCTAAAATTGGGATAGTCCAGGGCAAATTGAAATGTTTGATGATGATATGAGTAAAAATTCCCTCTCCTGGTTGAATAACAGCTGTGCTGGGAGAAGGGCGGGGTGCTGACTCGTGGTTTTCTGGGCAGTCTTCAGTGTCTCTAAGCTGTTGCTGCACCAAGCACATCTGCCTGTCGTTCCTTTATTCCCCACACCTAGCCTGCCAAGGGTGTAGGGGACATCCTCCTTCAGGAAGGTTGGCTGAGTGCCTGTGCAGGTTGTTAGAGGACTGAGGAAGACCAGAGGGAAAACTGGTGTCCGGGAGGGGAGCTGGAGGGTGCTGGACTACAGAGAGCCCATTGGTTCTGCTTGGGTGGACCGTGCCCACGTATGCTTATACCAGGAGTTAATGGTACTGATGGGGGGAGGCTTTTCAGCTCTGTTAATGTGGTCTATGCCTAGGTGGTCTGTGCATTTTAATTAGTTGGTATTTTGAAACATTTTTATGAGTTACTCTGACAGCTTATCAAGGGCATTTTCCTGGGAGAAAATTCAAATAAAAGAAAAATCTCAAAAACAGTTTGCTGTCAGGATTGTTTGGTTGTGTTGATGGCAATACCTTTGCAACAGGGTTAAATGTTTCTTTGCAAATTTGTAAGGCACTTCTGAAATAGCATTTGTCCCTCAGCCTTCTGCCCTGTATGTGGTTCTCGTGCCCCTTTCTGGAATGACTACTGAGTTCTGGAGCAGCTAAAAGAAGTCTGAAGTCCAACGCTGGGCTTTGAATCTGGCTCCCTGAGCTCTCTGTGACCTGTCCACTCCACCAGGTCGTGAGACAATAGCACTTGCTTGGCAGTGCTGCGTCTGTGTTGTTGTAAACCTGAAGGGGTGAAATGCAAGTGTGGACATGGAGGGAGGGAATCAGCTTCATCCGGACAGCAGTCACTGATAATGGTGCTTCCCTTAGGTCTGTCTTGCAACAAAACATGAGGGCAATGCCCCAAGTCCATGGTTACCTGCACCAAGACACAGGCCCAGCCACTCTGTGGAAGCACTTTTCCTCTATGCTCTTCTCCACAGCTGTAGAGTGTGACTGGTGTGTAGGGTTGTTTGCATTTTCCTGGATTATGTAAACCAGTGGCTTTGCCAAGAACTGTCTGTGCCCTGAAGCTGCAAGCTGGTTCTCTCCCATTGGCCAACTTGGTTTCATTTTATAGGAGGTGTAGCTTTCAAGTTGCAGAGCAGTGGTAACTGCTAGTGTCTCTTAGGAGTGTGGTACCTGGAGTTTAGGGACTCCACCGGTGACAATGACAGCAGATGAGTTGGTTTTCTTTGTGAATGGCAGAAAGGTAAGCCGGAGTTGACCTTAGGCTTGGAGTCCCTGCTCCTTGGGAGGGGATGCGTGTCCTCTGGAAGAGGCGTATTCTGCTTCTCTCTAGCCCGGTCCTTCTTGTTTTCCTCTCCTCAAAAGTGTTGTTGTGTTTTGTTAATATTGAGACAAGAAACCCTCTCAGGGCTAGGTCACAGGCCAGACACTCCAGGCACAAAAGAATGAGGGGTGGGGGGTTCTGAGTGCTTACTCTGCCGTAGGAGACATACTGGCAGAGCCAGGAAAAGGGACAAAGTTCCAGGTGAGTCGGGAAGTGACCAGCCACACCTATATTTCTGTGTTGAATTAGATATATCTTAATGATTTTGTGGGCTTTCTTTACTTGGAGAAGGATCAGGAATATGTTTTTTTTATGCTAGCATCAGGATATGTAATGTGCAGAGCTTTTGATTCTGATATATTGTGTGTATACATATATATACACATATGGAACAGCTGTCCTGAATGATGGTGTGGGAACATATACTGACACCTTGTGGCAAACATGATTTCATAAAGGAGACACTCCCCCTTCCCTGGTTCTACCAATAAGTATTGCAAAACTCTTACCTGCTTCGATTAACTGCATTGGTGCCCTGGGACCTAAGAAAGGTGGCATGGGTGCGAGTCCTTGGGCATTGCAAGGGCGAGAATCTTTGCAGCTTTAATGCAGGTGCAGGCAGAGAAGGAGTAAAGCCATTCCATCGTCTCCAGCTCTGTTTGCCCTCCCTGCACCAAGAGGTTCACAGGGTTTGAATCTGGCTCCCTGAGCTCTGTGACCTGTCCACTCCACCGGGTCGTGAGACACGGCGCTTGCTTGGCAGGGCTGCGTCTGTGTTGTTGTAAACCTGAAGGGTGAAATGCAAATTGTGGACATGGAGGGAGTGAATCATCTTGGTCCAGTGCAGTGTTTCAGCTCCACGCTTGAGAATGGAAAAGGTCACAAAAGAATAGCTGCAGTTGTGCTTTGTAACTGGCCATGTTGTGTGAACGATGAACGTTCCCAAGGGGTCCCCAAAGAAGGGCACTTTTATTTGTCTCACTATATTGACATTTTTTTTTCCATTGAATTGAGAAGCTGAGAGACTTTTGAGGTAATTTTTAAGAACTAAAATGTGCTTCACAGGATTCCAGGACTTACCCTGTCAGGATGTATTTAGGTGGCTAGCAAGAGAATTTCGTCAGCCAACACAACATCAGTGCCCAAAGACTATTGACGGTGGTGCCATCAGGGGTGCTGGGGTTCAGAGCTGTCTGAGATGCTTCCTTTTCCGGAGTGACACCTTGTGCCAAACCAAGAGATATGGCAAAGCTCCCAAGCTGTGGTAGTAAGCCTTTTGCATCCAACTGCTTAAACTTCTTTGCCTTCAGCAATTACTTCATGGAGATGTAAGAAACGATTGTTTGGGACTGGCTTCCTAGAGAGGTTTTTACACAAAGATGTCTTCTCTGGAATTTTTATAAGTGATTTAAAAAAACTATTTCTAGTTGTCGATGGACAGAATACTTTGATTTTTATTATTTATTCTTATGTGGTGCTGAGGATCGAACCCAGTGCCTTTCTTGTGTGAGGCAAGTGCTCTACCACTGAGCCACAACCCCAGCCCCTTATAAGTGATTTTTACAGTGAGTAGCTGGATCCAGGGACTTCCAAAGCTCTGCCTTACTCTAAGGTCTTCTTTAGTAAGCCATCCATTTGCGTGTGATAGCATAAGGTCCTGGTCTTCTTCAGGGATGGCTTGCTGTTATGTTCTGGGTCTAGATGGGAACATTTCAAAGTAAACTGACTTGGTGAAAGATTGTTTTCCCTTGAACTTTATTTTCAGTTTAGGAAAGGAATCTTAAATTTTTAGAGGGCATCATTATATCACACCCTACTGTCTCTCTGGAAGCTTCTGCTACTGCCAGATTCTGGGATGAATGTTCATGTCTGTAATTTATGAAGATGGGGCCTCTTGAGAAATACTGGAAAGATGGAGACACAGTGCAGAGAGTAAAGACGTGACTGTGGTGCTGTAAACACAGCCAAGTGAGGGACCCTGGTTTAATAAAGCAGCAATGAGTAAGCTGGTTCTGCTTTCATTCTTGTGATGTTTCATCCCTTTCGTTATAGGATCTTGTGCAAAGTAGTTACCAAAGAAGCTGTCCAAACTTGGTGCCTTTTTTTTTTTTTTTTGGTACTGGGGATTGAATCCCAGAGCACTCAACCTCTGAGCCACATCCCCAACCCTTTTTATTTTTTATTTTGAGATAGGGTCTTGCTAAGTTGTTTGGGGCCTTGCTAAGTTGGTGAGGCTGACTTTGAACTTATGATCCTCCTGCCCCAGTCTCTCCAGTTGCTGGAATTATGGGTAGGCAGCACCACACCTGGCCTGGTGACTTGTTTTTCAATGTGAGCCTCTTACACAGCTTGTTCTGTCCAGGACTCTGTCTCCCTAGCTGGGGTCTGGAGAGGGTGCGAGATGCAAAACATCAAACACCCAGAGGACCTTTTGGGGTGGGACAGGCCTGGGTGACTACATATCTTAGATCTTCTGGTCTAGAGTCAGAGTCAGAGGAAAAGAGCCCCTAAGGATTTTATTATTGCAACAAAAATCCTTTTGGGTGGTCGCTGAGTATCACTCTGTTTAGTGGAGATGTTGGCGCCTAAGTCCAAGAGGATTCAGCAGTTAGGGTGCAGCTGGAGGTATCTAGGAGCAACTCCACAGGAACCCTATGTGGGCTAGAAAGAGCCTCCTGTTGGCTTTCACTCACTCACTCATTCTTGTGGCCAACATTTATCAAGCTCCTTCCAAGGCATGAATACAGGACAAGTACTGGAAGAATACCATGTCTGAGACCAGGCATTTGCCATTCAAGATCCCATGGATAGGTGAAGTAATGTATTCCAAATGTATTTTACAGGAAACTAGTCTCATGAAATAGTCTTCTTGGATACTCTTAAAACTCTCAGCATAGTACTTGGTACATAGTAAATGCCCAATTAATGTGGGTGGAATGAATGGATGGATATTAAAAGCCCTGGGAAATCCTGAACTAAAGAAATAAAGTTTTAAACCTTATATTTTTAAATTGTTTTAAATTTACAGAAAAGTTGCAAGAAGACTACAAAGCAATTTTAACTACACTTTCCTCAAAAGCTGCTAACCTCTTGTTATAGTTGCTTTATCCTTCAAACATGCACATACGCACAAAGATGTACAGACGTATATAAGTACGCACACAATTTTATATGTTAGGTAATATATACATAAATTATAATTTTTTTCTGAATTATTTGAGAGTACATTTCATAATCATGCCCCTTTACTTCAAATCCTTAAAATAAGAACTTTCCTAGAGAATAAGATTTCACTTATAGAATGCAGGAAATTTATCTTTGATATAATATCATCACCTATGGATCTTTTGCAAAATTATAATTCTCCCAATAATGTCATTCTTTCCCATTCTTTGCCCCCAGCCCAGAATCCAGGGCCATGCTTTACGGTTAGTTATTTTGGTCCTTTAATTTGAAATAGCACCTGCTTTCCTTTGTCATTCATGACATTGACGTTTCTGAAGAGAACAGGCCAGTTATTTGTTCCCAGGTTCTTCAGGTGGGGTTTGTCTCATGCTTTCCTGTAATTAGATTCTGAGTCAGCTTTTGGGGCAGGAATGCCACACAAGTATGGTGTCTTTCTCAGTGCGTTCTCTAAGGGAGTGCATGATCGTGACATGAACTTTGATCTCTTGGCAAACGTGGGGTCCACTAGATTCCTTCACTGCAAGTAACTCTTTTTATCTTTATAATGAATCATCTGCAAACAGATACTTTGAGATTATATAAATACCTTGTTCATTAAATTTAACCCACTAATGATTAACTGGATTAATTGTTGTGCTGATTACAAGATGGCCAATCGTATTTATCACCTGATATTCTTCTGTCAGGAATAGCTTTCTCTTCTCTTCCATTTGTTCATTTATGGATCATTTATTTGGATTCGTGGATTTTAATCTTACTCCATGGGCTCTAATGCTTTATAATCATTATTTCTCTTGATGCTCGAGTTTTCCCAGAGGAATCGACTGAACCCAGTTTTCGTAAATCCATTTCCTCACCAGGTGTTTTTGCTGGGAATACCCATCGGCAGCCTGTTGAGAGTGTTCCGCACACCTGGGAAGCCCTGCAGTCACGCTGTGACAGCAGCATGGCCGTTACCTGTGGGAATTCAATGGAGGGTGGGCCACCGTGGCTGGGGTGGCGTGGGAAGCCTTGACTGGACAATAGGGTCTCCTGTGAAGTCAAGGTGCACGTGTAAGAGAGCAAGAATGCTGAAAGGTAGGGGGGCTGGAAGATAGAAGAGAGATTTTCAGTTTGGTGTATGACAGGAGGAAGGAAAAACATGGAGGGAAACAACCATCTCTTACTGCTGTGCATGAGAAAGGTGATAAGATCAGGATTATTGCATTTATGATTTTTCCTCCAGGAGAAAAAATAATGACTCCTTATGTGAACTTCGTAGCCAGGATGTTGAACAAGCTAGACTTAAGGGGCGTGATCATATGAGGCAATTAAGTTTATCTCCCAATGTCCTTCAAGCCTTATTCAAAGGGCAAACTCTTGGCAGTTTTATAAACTTTTTGATTACTTGAAGTTACAAAGAGTCGTATTATCTATGTGAGTTGCCAAACATGGTCTCAACTCAGGATGGCATGGTGAGGGGAGCAAGGAAGCAGTCATTCAATTGGTACTGCTGTCAGATGACTTCTGGCTTTTCAGCTGTTTGGAGCTGACCCTTTTCCTCCTCCTGCAATGACTTTGCAGATTCTTCAGGGGCCACCACAGAGAGCATTCGTTTGCATGTCTCATGACAAGAGTCATGTGCTTTTCTCTGGCTGCTTTCCCTCAGCCTCCAGGGTTAGGAATTCCACTCCACACAGACTCCCCATTAGAGGGCTCTACACCCGCCCTTGGCAGTCTTTTTTGAGAATAATTTAAACATCTCCAAGCCAGTTCTCTCTCCCTCATGGATGGCCTGCACTCAGCCCATGGCCACCCATATCCTGGGCTCTGCCACTCTAGGAGCGTGCACTGGTCTCAGTTTAACCTTAACTAGAGGTTCAAGTGCATCCTCATGAGTTATTAATTGTATGTTAAGTCCACCTATAGCTGTTTCCATACTCCAGACTACCATGTCCCCTATGCTGCAAAGGTGGCGTTGTGGCTTTATGTGCCTTGGGTTTGGGGTGTGAGGCAGATTCCTCCTTCCCTTCCACTTTAGGAAACTGTGTGACTCAGTACAATTCTCTCTGAAGAAGCCCTTATCACAGATTTTCTCCCTCAGTCACCTCAAGAACCCAGAACTATCCTGATGATGCATGAGGAGTAGTGAAGAAGGGCTTCATAGATTTCCTTTGACAATTCATACTGGGGACAAGCCTCTCACTTTATAGATGGGCTTTTTTTTTTTTCCTACCTTGTTGAACATACTGATAGGTCTTTGGCTTGAGATTTCTCCTCCATTCCTAACATATGTTCAAGCTACTTACTGTGAATCCCCATCCCATACACACCTCTGCAGTGAGCACAGGCCAGATGACTGGCTTTCTCCAGTCACACACAGGGTCTGAGGGTGTCTGCTCAAGGAGACAAAGCCAGAGCCTGCCTCGAGGACCCTTGCAGCTGTCCCTGGCATTCCAAGATGTGGCCCAGAAGGAGAGATGGGATGATGTGCTTGACTCAGAGGAGGCTGAGGATGGTCAGCCCAGGATGGGAGGTGCAGGGCTGAGCAGTGTGGTAGTATCTGAGCATTTAGGGTTGTGAGACTGTATGGATTCCGGCTTGTAGTTTATATGTTCATTCTTATGGGGTTGCCAAGAAAAATACCTTGGTTTTCATTATCGATTTGGCATATCTCTGCTAATTCTACCAATTCTTGGATGCGACATGGGAGGGAGAAATCAATTGCAGAAGGATGGTCAAGTATACCCATAATGTATTTTTTCTTTCATTTTTTTGGTAGGTGGTGGAGAAAAATGCAGATCCAGAAACAACCCTTTTGGTCTACCTGAGAAGAAAGTGTATCCTGACTTAAAGTGGGGGTAGGGGAATGGGGGTAGGGTGGGGCAACAGGGTCTTATTTTCTGGGCTTTGTCATTTCCTAGTGTGAATAGGGCAGCTGTGAGGTATGGAGGAAAGAGCCCTGGATCTGGAGTCTGGACACTTGTGTTTAGCTACAGTGGTGTCACTCAGTAGCTGTGTGACCTTGTGTAGTCCTTGAGCTCCCTGCATCTGAAACTCTCAGTTCCTGAGTGAGAGGATTGTTAGCGATCTCCTTGGAGATCTCTTCCAGCTAAGAGTCTACTACTTCCAATGTTTGATGCTGTCTGAAAAAGGACCTTCTCTAGTCCTGGGGGGCTTCGTTCCCCCTGGGAGGAGTCAGTCCTTCCTCAGCTGACATTTGCTTGATACATAAGTAGACTTCCAGAGAACTTTTCCAGCTCCGTCTGGTGTGGAAGACAAGGGTACAGGTGTCTCCTGGGAGAAGGAGCCTGAGGTGGGAGCTGGGGCAGTAGCAGACCCTGGAGGCATCAAGGGCAAGGAACTCCCCAGGGGAGACTTGGGGTGCTGCTGTGCTCTCAGTGTGGGCAGGACTTCTGTAAGATCCTCTGTACATTTTGTCCTTTCAGAGTATGAAAGTATCCTGAGACTCTGGGTCAAAACCAACAAAAATGATAGTAGGTGCTAACATTTAGTGAGCACTTATTATGCCCAGGCAGGGTTCAAGGCGGTTTGTACAGTTGATCTCGCTTAATCTCCAGAGCGATCCCATGGAAGTGTACCGCTCCCCTTCAGCAGGGGAGGGAGTGGGGCGTGGGTGATGTGACATGACCTGCCTTACTGCCATATTCTGGGCAAATGTGATAGAGGTTGGACTGAAGCCGAGAACATGCTATTGACCTCTCATCCCTACCAGAAACTCTCTGGGGGTCTATTGTCAGGACTGTGCTCACTGGTCCTGACGTCTGTTAAAGAACTCCTCCTTCGCCCAGAGGGTTGTCTGGTTCTTTTTCCAGTGGTGTTTGAGGACAACAAAGACTTGTTCAATACTCTCAGAAGTGGCCCTGGAAACCCTAGCCTTGACTGTGGCTCAGTGGTCTCCCATCAGACAGCACAGTGTTTGGGTTTGGCGACCAGAGATTCAGAGTAGATGAACCTCGTGGTGGTTCTTTTGCAGCAGAGGACCCAGTGGATAGGATCAGGGGACTGCATGGAGTTCCGTTTCCAGCCCATCTGCCTGGGAGGTCTGGGAATAGACCTCCCAGGTCTCAGGTGTTGAGATCAGTTTTAGTTTTCTATTAGTTTCAGTTTTAGTTTTGAAGGCCCGGAAACCTCAGAAATGCCTTAATAGCAATAAGCTGTTTGAAAGGTCAAAGTGCAAGTGAAATCCCAAACTGAAAGTGCTGTAGGGACAGACCAGGCAAGGCACCGAAGATGGTAGGAAACAGTTTTATTTGGCTGCAGCCAGGTTCAGAGGGCACAGCTTTTGCTGTAATCAATTAATCCCCTGAACCCTGAGTTCAGGGAGTTTCAGAGTTTTATACCCAGCATGTAAGAGGAGGGGCTCAGAAGTTCACAGTCTGCAGAAGTTCACATAAAAGCAGCTTTTTCTCTCACTGTTCTGGGCAAGTTAACCCTTCAAGGACAACACCGGAGAAGGGGAGAGCTTCTTCTCCCCCTTCTTTCCTCCCCCTGCCAGCTGTTACCATGGAGCCCAATTGTAACTTATCTTAAAAATGTAGACATCTCTGTGAAGCCCAGCTCAAGGCCAGAGGCTTTGTTTGCACATTTCTTCAAAGTATTATACTGGATATGTTTGTGAAAACCTAGTAAGGCGGTGTCCAGCATCTGGAGTGCTGATATCTTCTCGGCCAGTGGCCAAGTAAACAGGGAGACACCAAAATATTCCTATTCCTTATCTACATTGAACTCTTTTGCAGAGACTCTTTTGCTGACGGTCTTAAAATCAGCCATGGTGAAGAGTTCTGGAGAGACCCAGTTAAGACTTTTCAGTGGAGAAAGGTGGTGCCACTTCAAAAGTTGGCAAGTAAAGTCCTCACAGGTTATTGTTGTCTGGGCTGAAGTTTTCTTTGTGGGAGTTCCCAGTAAGAGAGAAGACCCTTGATTTCTACCCTGGCTTCTAGAAAGATCCAGAGGCCAGAATACCTTGCTGGACTTCCAGCTCTCACTCCCTGTCTTCATGCACCCCTGCCGATGTCTGAGCAGCAGATAACTGCATCTACTTTGTGAAAAAAAAAAATAACCAAGGGCACAGAAAGCCCTTGGTGTGCTTAGAGAGATGGCATGGGGACGGGGGTGCACACCAAATCAGATGAACGTTGGGGCCCTAGCAAGCAAGGGAACACTTGTGTGGCTCATGCTACATCTTGGGTCTCAGTTCATTTTTATTTTGTTTATTACTCTGTGAGAAAAATCATAATTCCTACCCCAGCTGCTAACCAAATTCTTGTGAAGATTTCTGGGCACATGGATATAAGTGCTTTCCAAGTATATGATCTATATCATGGCTAGTTGCTCATTTTATCTTGAAAATGAAGGAAGTGACAGGTGAAAATAATCTCAGTCCCCTCAATCTGCTGTAGAGGGCTGGGGGGTTTGGACAGAGGCCTGTCACAGAGAATGTGCCTACCAATTGCTGTTCTCTAGAATCGCCCACTAGTGAGGTCAAGTATCAGATTATCTTTCCGTAGTTTGTGTAAGTATTGGGCCCGATTCTGGTCAACCGTCTCGAAAAAACCTTTATTTTAATTTCTACTTGCACATATTATGGCTGGATATTTGAAAGCCTCTGATCTAGCTCCAATTTTGGATCCTAGGACTTTATCAGCTCTACAGGCATCCCTGGGGATGCTGTCAGATGAGAACCTGCTGTCTTGCTCTCTGTTCCTGCCCCATGGGGCTGCAGTGTCTCCTCTGAGTGAGAAGGCCCTGGCTCTGCTGCCTCCCAGGTGGAGGACCCTGAGCCCTGTGTGAGGATGGATGAGCAGACCCATGAGACTCTGCCCAGGCATTCCCAGCAACCTTGCAGTTTCCTTCCCCTAGTTCATGTTCCTTAACTCGAGACCACACAGTGGGGCTGAGCGGGACCAAGCTTGGCTGTGGAGAAGGGGGCTGCGGGGCTTGCACAGTGATGCTTTCCAAGTACGACCGTTTCCAGAACAAGATCGTGTATCCTTTGCCTGCTGCCTGATTGTCCTTGCGAGGGCTAAGATGCAGAGCCAGCCCGTGAGTGAGCGTGCGAGCGTGTGCATGCAGGTGCACAGGTATGTGAGCCTGTGTTTCTGAGCAAGCTCTAACCACGGACAGGGACACTGTACAATGATGACTTAGCAAGTAACTTCCTGGCTCATGACTGTTGACCAGGTTCTCTGAACGGCTGTTGAAATGATCTTTCTAAATTCAGGCTCACAGCTCATCTCATGCGCTCCTTTGGTAGCTCTCCACAGCCCCTGCTGGAGTCCAGGCTCCTCCATGGTGCCCTGGCTCTCCTCTCCGGTTTCCCTTCTCATTGTGTGCCAGCACTCCTTCTAGGCCAAGATAGTTGTGAGCTACAGATGCCCCAGGCCCACTCATTTCTTGATCTTGGCAAAAGCTTTTTCCCAATGTCCTTTTTTCCAAGCCTCTCTACCTGGCAAACTGGTACTAGCTCTTTAGGAGTGGACCCCAAATCACCCCCTCCAGGCAAACTTCCTGGACTTCTCAAGACAGGGCTAAGTGCCTAAGTGCCTCTTGTCTGTGTGGATTTCAAAGTGCCCCATGCACAGCCCTCCTGAAGTTTTTAAATTGCATCTTCACACCCACTTCTATTTTCCTGGGTTGACTGCAAGCTTTGAAGGCTGGAGATTTCATCTCATTCACTGTCATTCCCCAGCTCTCGGCTGAGTGCTAGCATACAAATGGCACTCAGTCACTCATGTTGATTGTACATACACGGGAACCAGTGATGGCTAAGGAAAGCAGGCGAAGAAATCCTAGAGGAAGCTCTATTCAAGGGGCTGGTGTTTCCCGTTTCCCTCTCTTTCCCCACGAGGAGTTCCCCAGGCCCTACACTGCTCTGATGACCTGAGTGGACAATGGAGTGACCTTAATCTGGGGTTCTAGCCATTTTTCTGCCAATGCCTGCCTGGCCCCCATCTGCTCCTTGCATCATGTTGCCGTGACTACTGTGGAGGGAATAGGAAGCACCAAGACTCGGCTGCATCCTGTGCAGGTAAGCAGAGGGAAGGAGCTGTGCTCTTGGGGTCAGGGCGTTTTGCAGGAAGGCTCAGGCCAAGCTGCAGACTGGTTTGGGGTTGTCAGGTAGAGTTTCACAACCTGAACAAAGGTCACTTTCTCTTCTTCTGGGTGCTGTGAGATGGAAAGAGAAGGCTTCCAAGCCCAAAACTCCCTCCTGTGGCCAGAGTGGACCTAACATTGCATGACCCCAAGGGATCCAAGAGATCAACTGAATCTGGTGATCAGGGTGGTCCAGCTGCACCAGAATGGGAGGAGGAGGGGCAGGGTGCTTTCTCACCTTGTTCCCCAGTATGCTTAGGAAACCCTCAGTCTTCCCAGGTTCCAAATTCTCTGTGTCCCTTGATTAAAGGCTGATCTACTCTCCATTCCTTGGAGAGGTAATTCTGGTGGCAACTTCATTTCCTATCCACAGGTAATACAAGTGTGCTTCCAAGCCTCCACTCTCACTAGGATAGAGGTTATCAAGGGCCAAATAAGATAATAGTGATGGATGAGTGCCTGGCCAAGGCTTTCTGTCTGCTTTCAGGTAGAATCAGACCACCTGAAAATGAATTAGAATTGGGAACATCTTTGGAGAGAGTGGGCAATGATCTGAGGGGTTTCTGGAGAGGGTCAGGCTATTCTCAGGCCAAGTGGAAACAAATGGGAGCAGAGCACGGTGGGAAGGAAAGGCCATTGTTTTGTTTGGGGAAAGTGAGGAAGGGGCACTTTGGGATTTTGCAATCGCTAAAGGTTCCAAAGTTAAGCCCAGGCCTTAATCCTCCCGTGACCAGTCGAGGAGATGTGCCCTTGAGGAGAGCTTGCCTTCCCTGACACCTTTCATGACACCATGGAGCCAGGGTCTCCAGAGGAGTGAGCTGGGCCTGTCCCTAGGGCAGGGCAGGGTGGGGTGGTGTTGCTTTGCCTCCATCATTGTATTTCTTAGGCAGGAAATGGGGGAATTACTCAACTTGTCCAACCTGCAGGAGGTGTGAGAAGGGTAATTAGGGCTTGTCATTTCTTTGAAACAAACATGGAAAAAAAAAAAGAAGAAGAATGAATAAACTCTGGGATCTTATCTGTATGATCAGTTTAAACCCCTCCCTTTGCAGTCAGGCCTTATTCCTGAGGCACTTATTTGGCACCAACTGAGCAACAGCTGGATTTCACTTCTTGTCCATTCATGTGCTTCTCTTGGTTTTGAGGCACCACGCCCGCCCCTGCTTTTCCTCCCTCCTCGATGTCAGCATCCTGTGCTGGCTCCTCCTCTGCTCTGTCTCTCCTGCTGTGGGGTCCAGGCTGTGCCCTTGAGCCCTTCCCTTCTCTGTGTCTCTCTGGGGTGGGGTGGGGGCGGAGTTTGTATCTCTCTACCTGCCAGGGGCATGCACACCCAGGCCTTCAGCTCCGACCTCAAGCTTATCAAAACCTCATCCCCCCCACCCTCCAACTTCGTCCTTCACAATCTTCCTCTGCCCAGTTGCTCAGGATAAAAATCTAGGAGTTGCCTTTGGTTCTTTCTCTCAAAGACCACATCCAATCCATCCACAAGTGGGGTCCACTCTACCACCCAAACCTCTAATGACATCTTCATTCTTTCACTTGTCGTGATTGCTACTTGGGCCCAGCCACCATCCCCTTTTGTCTGGTCGGCTGCGCTATCCTGAGGCCTATTTCCATTCCTGCCCTCTGCCACCCATCCTCCACTTAGGAGACAGGATGATTCCTTAAATCCCCCAGTATGATTAGGAAAATTCCTTAAATCCTCCAGTGTGATCAGGAAACCCTCAGTCTTCGATCACACACTTCCTGCTGAAAATCCCCACTGGCTTCCCATCACACCCTGATGAAGTTCCTAATCCCAACCCTGGCGTGGGAAGAGCTGCTGTGAGCCAACTTCTCCAGTCCCAGCAAGTCCCACCCGTGGCCTTCCAGCAAATCTAACATGTTAGGCTTGTTCTGGGCCCAGAGCCTTCTCACTGCGGTTCTCTCTCCCTAGAATATGCTCTTCTATGATTCAAATAGGGTTACTTAATTCAGCGTAAGGGCTCCCTTTCAAAGTGGCTTTTTCTGGCCACTGTGTTCAGCCACCATCACAATGGATCATGTCATTCTGTAAAAACTCTCTGTGCACAAAATCTCCACCTGGGATTCCTTCTTTGTCAGTGTTTTCCTTGTGAGAATGTAGGCTTTGGAGATCTCTCCTTGTCTCTCCTCTTCACTGTTCTGTTCCCAGTGCCTTTACTGTGCCTGGTGCATGAGAGATTCTCAGTCAATATTCATAAAATCAATTAATATATATACAGGATACTAAGGTTATAATATTCTGGCAATTTTATGTAACACGAGAGAGACTCCCAAGAGACCAAAAAGCAGAAGAAAAACAAAAAAGAAAGCCAAGTGAATGAGGAAAATCTCCTTAGAGTAAAAATCTTCCTGCTTTGCATGGGAATCCTGTGACGTTCGAAGCATAGAGTCAATTCAGTTTGACATGTTTTCCAATTCTCTGGCCTCCACGGGAGGAGTTGCCTCCACTTAAGAATACAGGAATGCAATGGGACTCTAGTTTGGAATAAGAGGTGTCTTGTTGGTCCTCCAGGAAGGTCAGTTGAGCTGGACTGCAGGGTAGTGTAGTCAGAGGAATACAACACAACTCTTCCATTCACAGCATGTTAAGTTCTTATATTTCCTGGGCCTACTTCCCAGGATACTCATTGCACTTTAAAAGGGGTGGCTTACCCATTGTAACACTGCCTTCCTGCCTCCCATATGCCAGGCACAGGGCAAGGGTTTACATGAATTTTCTCATTAAATCCTTAGAAGTAAAGAGTAGGACTGTCCTCCTCCTATAGACCAGGTGCCCTCTACAGGACCTTACTTCTAAGGAGGGGCTTGACCTGATCATTACCCCCACTGTCTCTCAGGGAATGGGGAGGGGGGTCTCACCAACATGCACATCTGTTTCATTTGTCCCTTTCAGGAGAGAATTGCAAAAAGCCATGGCTCCCAGTGCGGGTTCTGCACCCCTGGCATCGTCATGAGCATGTACACGCTGCTCCGAAATGAGCCGGAGCCCACCGTGGAGGAGATTGAGAATGCCTTCCAAGGTACGGGCCTTCAGGCACAGCCAAGGAGGTGGAGTGGCAGATGGGACCCTGGGCGGGGGGTGGTCAGGATGGGGTCAGGGTGACAGCCAGGAAGAGGCTTGGAGTGTCGGAACACCCTTTGGAGGAGAGGCGCAGGCCACCCTAGAGCAATGGCTAAGATCTGCTATAAAGTTAGTTCCTCCTGCTTTGGAGAACACTTGGTTGGCTGATAGACCTCCGGGGGTCCCCTGCTTCCTATAATGTCTTCCTGCCCTTCTCCAGCTTTGAGGTGGCCTTGGCACTGGGCAGCTGGCATGGGAGACCACTTGGGAAACTGCACAGAGTCTAGTGATTCGGCTTCCTCTGATCAATTTCCACCAGCTCAGGATTCTTCAGGGCATAGACCACATAGGAGGAAGGTAGCCAGGCAGGACTCAGCCACAGGCAAGGGCTGGCTTCCCAGTTTGCCTCCTGTGAGTGGGCCCAGGAGCCTGTCCCATGTGTCTGCTCCTCTGAAGTGAACAGAGAAGTTTCCCTACCTGTTCAGCATTTCAATCTGTTATTTCTCCAATTAAGTATTTTGAGTCCTGTGCTGTACAGGCACAAGAGGAAAGATGTAGTCACTCCTCTCAAGGAATTCACACTCTGAAGAGGAAGTGAGTTTATAATGTCGTTTGATAAGCTCACTGATAAGGCCTGACCAGACACCCTGGAGCACCAGCAGGGGCCCCTGACTGATTCTTAAGGGGGGGGGGGTCATGATGGAAGTTTTGAGGTGACATGAAGAGGAACAGGGACCTTCCAGACACAGAAGACAGGACAATAAAGGCAAAGCTGTAAATGGAGCATCCAACTGAGCTGGGGCAAGGCCACAAGCCCTCTCCTGCCCAAGACCAGCACCAACGCTGCAGCTTTTCTCTTGGCCCACAGGAAACCTGTGCCGCTGCACAGGCTACAGGCCCATCCTCCAGGGTTTCCGGACCTTTGCCCGGGTAAGTGGGGCCCCAGAGCAGCAGGGGTCCTGCTCTTAAAGCAGCAACCCTCAGGGATCACAGCTGGGAGGGATGCCAAGGGATATGGTCTCTGGGAGGAAAGGTGAGATGTCTAGTGAGTGGGTCCTTCTGCCAGGGACAGGTGCTGTGGGGAGTGGATTCTGTAGTTCTTCTCCATAGCCCGGGGCTTTCCTCCCAGTGCAGGCCTGGAACTCTGCTTTCTAGAAGAGGCACCCTGCCTGAGTGCTGGCTTCCTTCAGTGCTTCCAGGCTTGGCAGCTTTTCCTAGAGACTGGCAGGCTCATGGGCGCTTAACAAGGCATCTCACCACAGCCCAGCCTGGCTCAGCGATTGTGCCCCTCCTCCTTCCCTCTCCTGGCTGTTTCTGAGGTTGGCACTGGCTGGTCTTGTGAAGCTGATAATTAGATCTCCAGACAGTTTGTGAACCCCTGCAGTGTTCATCTCACTCCACAGCCGGGTATGTGGGCATTGATTACGTAACCAATGGCATGTACCTGCCATCTGGCATGGAGCGCTGGCTTAGTCCCCTCAGCTTTTACCTGATTTCTCAACTAGGTCAAGTTGCTCCTGTCTCCCAACAAACCTTGTCATCTTTGATTCTGAGTTCAGGAGACAGTTACAGACACCTGTGCTTTGCACTGACCTTTAGAACTGGCACATCTTGAGAAGGAGAGTTGTGCCTACCTTATCCAAGAAAGGGTGGGGGGGAGGTAGAGGTGGGTCTTCACAAGGACAGACAACACCAGGCCCTGGAGAATGCAGTTGATGAAGTAGTAGGAGGTGTACAATTAAGTGAAAATCATTCAAAGTACATATTCCGAGTCTGATGACCTGGGTTCAAATCTTTTATCATGATCAATGACCCTGGGCAAGTTTCCTTGTTTCAAAACTGGGAATGATAATAATACCAACCTGATAGTGTTTGTAAAGAATAAGTAGTTCCTTCAAAGCTTTTAGAACAATGCCTGGTACATCTTAAGTTGTCCATTAATGGAGCTGTGAATTATGATGTTGACACATTTCTTCTTCACCCACCGTATGTATGATCTGTATGATCTCCGTTAATTGCTCAGGCTTCCCTGAGAACAATGATTGTCAATCTTGCCTATCTGTTTACCTAGGCACCTGCTCAAAGACATGCAAACTAACCAGTCCTCACAGTGCCTCATAAGAGAAGGGCATTTGAATATAGCAGACAGTTTCACTACTGCTTGACGTCTGAGTTTTATTATCATTGAAGTGATATTCTGTTATGTAGCAGCAACCCCCTCCACCCAGCTGTCCTGCAGAGTAGAGCAAGGCTGAGCTGCCAAATGCAGAAGGTGAGAGGAAGTGTCCTCATAATACTCACCGGAGGCCCCCAGGCTTTATTCAGAGACAATTTACCTTTATTTTACACAGAGTTCTAACAAACTTGATTTCCTTAGTTTTCCTGTATCTAGTACACACTAGAAAAGCTGAGCACACTTTTCACAGCAAGAATGACAATGTCCATCTGGCCACAAGGGAGGAAATGGAAAAACCATTAAAATAGGCACACGCAAGACTTCTGGCTTCCGATACATATGTAAGGAGTTTTGACATCTTCATTCCATCCTAACAATAAGTAAGAAGCTGAACAAACTGAGAAATCAACCACTCTTCTTAGATTCATCAGAAAAACAAAGTTATAGGATAAACTCTTGTTTCTCAAGTTGGAGGTAGACAGGTGGATACAGAGAATCTCAACATACTTGGCCATAAACAGCGAGCAGAAACCTCTTTATGAACGAGTACTGCAACAGGGAAACTTGAGCAGTAATTGATGAATTGCTGGAACCTTAATGTGGACAAGCCTCAGAGATACAAACTCTAGGGGACCCAGGCATGGGGAGTCCTCAAACTTGGAAGAAGAGAAGTTCCAGCCACCCTGACTCACTGTAGATAGGAAAAAACTACCTGAGACACTTGTGGCACTCACAGTTCAGGTACACAGACTCACCAAAAGACAGAGACCTAGAGTTAGGACAACAGGATCCTTCACACTTACCAGTATATTACTAAAGGTCTGTTCACAGCAGATCCTTTTATCTATCACAGATGACTTATTTTCAAACAACCCACAAAAAAATTCCAAGCATACTCAAAGGCAAACCCAACTTGAAGAGATGAAACAGCAGAACCAGGCTCCACAGGGTGGAGATGTTGAAGTTATCAAACAGGAAATTTTTAAAGGCTGATTAATATGCTAAAGATTTTAATGGGAAAAAATAGGCGGCATGCAAGAACAGATGGATGAAGTGAGCAGAGAGATGGAAATTCTAAAAGAGAAGTTATTTTAAGACGCTAGAGATAAAAACACTATGGTAAAATGAAGAAAGCCTTTGGTGGGCTCATTAGTAAATTGGACATATCTGAGGAAAGAATTTCTGAGCTGACGATGTGGCAATGCAAACTTCTAACCCAAAAGGCGGGAGAAAAAAGAGTGTAAAAAATATTAAACTCAAGAACTGCGGACAACTACAAAAGCAAAATCTATATGTAGTGGGAATACTGGAAGGAGAAGAAAGAGAGAAGGGCCCAGAAGCAATATCTGAAGCAATAGATGAATGAGAATTTCCTAAAATTAATCAGACTAAAATACTGGAAGCCAGGAAGTTCAGAGAACACCAAGCCAGATAAATGTCAAAACAAACCCCAAAGCCATTTGGAGCAAAACAACAACTAATCTAGGCATATTATATTCGAACTTCATAAAATGAAAAATAAAGAAAAAAACTCTTCAAAGAATCTAGAGGAAAACACTCTCACTTATACAGGAGCAAAGGAAAGAATTATATCTGATTTCTCAGAAACCATACAAGCAAGAGGAGAATGGAGTAAAACATTTAAAGCACTGAGAAGGGAAATGCTCCCACCAAATTAGAAACTTGCCGCAGTCTGGCTGGGCACAAGATCATGAGCCACTCACACCTTGTAGATTCAAACAGCAACTCTTTATTCCCGAACGCACACTGGCCCTGTACAAACACGTTCTGGGGAAATCCAAATTCTGCCCACATTCATGTCCCAAATACTTTCTGAATTCCACGAGAACTCAACGGGAACTCAGGCATCAGGATATGCCCTATTCCCAGCAGGAATAATCTTAAACCTGGAACCGCCCTCTAAACCCAGATTGTCTTAAACCGGGAGCACCCTAAACTTGTCTTAAAACGGGAACGCCCTAAACCCAAGGAGCGAGAGATACTTCCTAAAACCTGCAGGATACACCCTAAACCTGGATCCACCCTGGTCCTAGAGCAGGGTCACCTTTCTCAAACACATATGCAATGTCACAGCGAATGTCCAAGGCAAGTCCATTTAACATGGGGTACGCTGGCAAGGAAATTTCGATGTGTCATTTCTACTTGGCAATGGCCCTCAGCAGAAACTGTTTTTCAAAGGTGAAGGAGAAATAAAAGCTTCCTCAGATAAACAAAATTGAGGGAAATCATTGTCACTAGACCTGCCTTTCAAGAAACACGAGAAGAGATTCTGTAGAGAACCAGTCCATGGGCTTGATCCCCAGCAGTATAGGATGGGGTGGGGGGCAGTTTTCAGAGAGAAGAAAAATGACAAAAGTCATAAACTTAAATCTACACGAAGAAATGAAAAGCACTGGAGAATGAATACGTGAAGGTGAGATGAAAACCTTTTCAATTCTTCATTAATCTAACAGATAACAGATGGTTCAAAACAAGAATTGCAACATGTATTTGACTAATAGTGCATTTATGTATGGATATACATGATGAAAGCAATAGTAAAAAGAGAAAGAGGGAGAATATCTTGTTATAAGGTCTTCATACTATCCATGAAATGGTATATTGTTATTTGAGAGTAAAATGGGATTTGTTATAAATGTATTTTACAAACTCAAAAAAGTAAGAGAAATACAATGGATATGCTAAGAAAGTAGAGAAAATGGAATATATACAATGCTATGTTGAAACCACATCAGAGAATTTGTGAAAGACAAAAGTAGGAACAAAGAATATGGGAAGCAAATAGAAAATAGTAAAAATATGGAAGATACCACTCTAGCTGTATCAATAATCACCTTCAATGTTAATGGTCTAAATGTAACAATGAAAAGACAGATATTTTCAGAGTGGATAAAAAAATAAAACCCAAATATATGTTGTCTACATGCAACCCAAGTTATAAAGACAGATCTAGGTCAAAAGTAAATGGATGAAAAATGATATACCATGCTAACACGAATGAGAGGAAAGTGGGAGTAACTATGTAAATTTTGGACAAAGAAGACTTTAAGGAAAGGTTTCAGGAAAAAATAGGGGAATAAAATGACAGAGTGAAAGGGAATTTTCCTGATTGCTAAAGCTGTAGAACATTCTTTCATCTCTTTGTTGGCCATGAATAGTTCTTCTTTTGAGAAATGTCTACAGCATATTTACTTATAATTGTGAAAATTCAGAAATGGCCGAGATGTCCTTCTGCAGGTGAATGGATAAAGAAGCTGTGGCCCATTTAGATAATGGAATATCGTTCAGCACCAAGCCATGAAAGGACTCGGAGGAATCTTACAATGCATATTGCTAACTGACAGGAGCCAATCTGAAAAAGTTACATGTTGTATGATATCAACTACGGGAAACTATGAAAAGACCAAACTATGAGGGCAGCGGAAAGATTAGTGGTTGCTGGAGCAGAGGCAGGAGGGACGAACAGACAGAGCACAGAGGATTTTAGGGCAGCGTGAGGCCCTTCTGTATGATACTGTATTAGTGGATACACATCATCATACATCTGTCAAAGTCCACACATTGTCCAGGTAAACCATGGACTTTGAGTGATGATGACCTGTCCAGGTAGCTTCATCCGTTGTGATAAATGTACCACTCTGGTGCACATGCTGAGAGCAGAGGAGGTTGTGTGTGTAGCCAGGGCAGGGGAGAGGGAGAAAGGGTATTTGGGAATTGTTTGTACTTCCTGCTCAGTTTTACTCTGAACCTAGAATCGATCTAAAAACAACAACAACAACAACAACAAAAAACTAGTTTATTAAAAAAAAAAAAAAAGCACAAGCCTAGCAGTCTTAGTTCATAAACTGTAAATCTCAGAAGGGCAGAGGCAGGAGAGATCAGCCTTATCCAACCTCAGAAGACCTGGAGGGCAGTGAGCTGTTATTGAACATCACAATAATCTGTGTCATAAACATACCAATTAATTTATCAAGGAAAAGGATCTAAGTGCGATTGTGCTGGCTGGCACCTTAATGATCTGGAAAATGGACCCGGGTGGAACGTCTCCTCCCTCAGGAAGACCAGGCGAGCGAGGCTGATGCTTCACCACATGCAAGTTCCTCTCGCTTCCGTGGGCCTGAGAACTCCCCTGCATCACTCCTTCGCCCAGAAGAGGAAAAGAGGCGTGAGGGAACCCGTCTTCCTTCCTCCTTTCCTATCTAAATTCAGAGGGGAAGGGCGAAGGGGCCGTAGAGAGTTCCAGAATGGACAGAGCAAAGCTATGAATGTGGGGGGCTCTGCGTCTCAGGCCCCATGGGCAGGGGGTCGAGGCCAGGGAAGGTTCCTCCCTGCTGCCATGGTCTGCCCGTGTTTGCGTGTCCACACCTTCGGCCTCCATGGTCTTCTGAGAGCTGTGTTAGGAAAGATGGTGAATCATGACACACCCTTGGAGAAATGACAGCCTGGAATGGTGTCTCCTGTGACTCACAGGCAGAAGGGACTGTTCCCAGCCTGCTCCTTCAGGAACTGACTACCTCAGAAAAGTGCCTGGAAATTTTTCTCACTTTAGTGTCTCAGCACAGCCCCACAATTCCGAAATGTCTTCTGAAGCCCGGAGTTGCAACTCCTGCCTTATTAGGGCAGATGGGCCTGATGAACACATCCTTGCCCGGCTCTGCAAGACCTCAGTTGTGGGAACAGTGATTCTGTTCTTTGTTAGTGTTCTGCCATTGGCATCCAGAGGCCCTGAGCAGATCCTTCCCATGGGTGATGAGTAGTTCCCCCTGGACCCTTCCTCCAGAACAGGCCCACACTGAGGAGTGAAGAGTGGTCAGCTTTCTGGGAAGAAGTACCTAGTAGGTAGGGAGGAGGCCATTGGACACACTGGATGGACACATCTCTCAGATCAGCACTGGTCTTGGACATCCTTGGCAGAGTCCCTCAGAATGCCCAGCCTGAGAGACACCCAGCCAAGCCCCATAGATGTAGAGCCTGAAAGTGGAGCCTCTTAGGTCCTGAGAGGACCTATGAGAAAAACACCTTTTGATAAAACAGGATCTAGTTTTGATGGAGACCATTTCCCTGTGACTCCTAAGTGTTCATCCACGTGTTCTGTAACACACATCAGCAAAGCAAAGGATAAGAGAGCGGAGGCCTTGGCTCTGCATGCCTGCAGGTGGGATGGGGTGGGGGTTTCCCTCTTCCTGTGGGTCTTCTCGCCTGGTCTTCCTGAGGGAGGAGACGTTCCACCCGGGTCCATTTTCCAGATCCTGTGGGTGCTGGAATAGGCACCAGAGCTGGAGTTCAGTAGATATTAATCATCAGGATTCCTCAGATTCTGTGAAATCTCTATAAATGTCTATGTGGGAATGTCATCTGTCTAGGATGGAGGATGCTGTGGGGGAAGTGGAGACAACCCAAACTGCTGCATGAACCAGAAGAAAGACCACACAGTAAGTGAGTCTTCTCTGCCTGGAGCCTGGGGGTAACTCAGAGGAGTCACTGAGCTCTCTCCACACCCCTGGCCGCGGTGGCTGGAGGAGGGAGCTATGGCAAGATTTGGGGATGACCAGGTAATGAGAGTGGTGAAGGTGCTCATTAGCCCTGGGGTCCCTTGGCAAGACCTCCTTTCTTCTGCTTCCCAGGAGCTGCCTGCCCCTCTACCAGGGGCTGGGAACCAGCTCACCAGGAGGAAGGGCTGGATTAATCCTGGAAGGAAGAACTGCAGTTCCTTACATGTTCTCTCTTCCTGTAGGTCACTCTCTCCCCATCTTTATTCAAACCAGAAGAGTTCATGCCCCTGGATCCCACCCAGGAGCCCATCTTCCCTCCAGAGTTGCTGGTAGGTGATGCCGCAGGGAGCAGTCCAGCCTTGTCTCTGTGCTGTGAGATCCTGAGACTTGCTTTATTTTTATATCCACTAAGAACCTTGCACCTTCCCTGTCATTTAGGTGTCAGTTCAAATTTCCCTTCCTTTTTCCTTCCTTCTTTCCTTCTTTCCTTCTTTCCTTCCTTCCTTCCTTCCTTCCTTCCTTCCTTCCTTCCTTCCTTCCTTCCTTCCTTCCTTCCTTCCTTC